GCGCAATTATGTATTGTATTTGTTTAATTCCGTCGATTGAGTTCATAACGATAGCTTGGTTCATTTTTGGTATGAGAGAGTTGGCTGTTGTTTCAGCGAAACTTTTAACTTGGGAGCTGTCTATTGGATGATTTGAGGTGGGTTGAATGTTGTTGGTATCATTGACGATGAGGTTGTCTTGAGTTGAGGTGGTTTTGGGTGGGGGGATAGGTGTTGAGTGTTTGGACGCTAATAATTTATCATTAAGAGATAGTTTATTTGGGTTTGAATTTAAGTTGCCCGATGTTGTAGGCATATTGGTGGTGATTGCGAATGAACGCAATTTAATATCGTAATTGATTTTAATTAGGAAGATAGCTAATCGCGCTTAATAAAATCATATTACCAGTTTATCGTAGAGCAGAGTAGGAACACTTCTAACGGTAGATAAAAATGCGGTTGCGATAAGGCTACACACGTGTTGCTCGGTCGGGAGTCAAACACGAACTATTATTGTTATAGTGAGCAGTCCGGGTGAACGAACCAACGGTACACGAACGTTGATGATATTCCAAAGTCGATTTATATATTTGATATTACACATTATCGTGTGCGCACATACTAATAATGACAATAATATAATAATGGAACGAATATGTCATATTATGGTTAGTAATAATAATATGTCATTTAGACGAGTTCTCTGGACCGTGATTATTTAATACATGTTTTTTTCACTACGAATTCGCACGGTCGCAGTCAAAACGCCATTAGCGAGTAGCGACGACGCGCACGTCGTCGACCGACCGACCAAAAGAAGAGAATAATATGATGGTAACGTTTTTTTAAAAAAAAAACCGTACAAAACTACAAGACACAATGGACGGACACACAACACGCCATTATTGTTGTATTATTATTATATTGCAGAAATCCGATCGAACGCGGGGCCAACAAACCGCGAACGCGGTAGAAGTCTAAGCGCAGAGTTCTTATACTCGTATTATACCACAACCAGACGGTACTCCCAAGTGGCTAGGAAGACGATGCGTGAAAAAAACCAATACTAAAAACGACTTACGAACTCGTACGTGCGTTTCAGCGTCGCCATAACGGGAATTCGGAACTATGTAATATAATTATAATAATATAAGGTGGCCATATTAAAAAATCTGGAAATACAAGACGAAAATATAACTAAGAACGGAATGCCAATGAAATAAATTAGTTTAAAGTAGCTTTTTTTAAAAAAAAAATATATATTTATTTATATCGTTTAATATTAATTATTCAACCCAACATAAAATTGTTAAATAAAAGTAGAACATGATAATGTATATTTATAAATAAATATTAAGTTTTATATTATACAGAGTGGCGAGTGCGTTTTCTTTTAAAGGAAACAAATATTTTTGTTCAGTGACCTCGGATTGAAATGGGGTTTTTGGAAAGTATACTAACGAATATACACATTTTTTGACGATTTTTAAATTGTAGGCCTATTTATTGGATGCATGCGCATATATTATAACTGGCGTTTTTTTTAATGTCAACACCTATTTCTAAAACCAATATTCACTGAAATACAAGTTCATCCTGTTTGGTGAGACAGATACAAATAATATTTTTTGATTTACAAGACCAGTAGAGTAACTAGGGCTAAAATGTCGGGAGCTACAGTTCCCCCTGACATTACATGAAAAGTAAAAGGTGGGTGCGTTCCATATATAATCACTTAAAAATATAAAAATTATACAAAAAAAAAAACAAATATTTATTTACTTAAGTTTCATTTTACATTTCTACACAATAATAATAACACTAATAATAATAATATTAGACTGTCTGTATCAGTGCATATATACTGTACAATTGTGAATAATAATCGTAGTAATGTGCCGTCATAAATCGTTTCCTTAAAAATAAATACAGGCATACAGCTAATGAAATTTACCATACATTTTTATCATAGACTATAATATAAAATAATTATAAATTTAAATGAAAATTTAATAATTTAATTTTTTTCAAAAAATAAAATCAGAATTACAGTTGAAATTAAAAAGCACTATTAATATTTTAGCAAATAATAGAATAATTTATTTTTGTGAGGGGAGGGGCTATTTCAAGTTGTACGGGTACTAAATGGATATAATTCTGAAAAACGGTAAGGCCGCTTTACCATAATATCTTTAGTCTATACGAATTGTTATTTGTTATAACAATATTTAAAACTTCCTTTATAATACAGATCGATACCTAACTACTCGTTCCTTCGTATATTAATAATATTATAATACACTTTTCTCTAGTATTTTTATTTTTATCCACCGGGTTTACGGCGTATGGGTTTGGATTTGAAAATAAATAATAAAACAAAAAGGTATGAAATGGATTTTTTGTTGCAGTTAAGAACTGGTTTTCACTGAATTAATTTAATAAGTTCTAAAATAGACCATTAAAACGAATGATTGATTGCGTTTTAAAACTGCGTAAGTTTAGTTAATTTAAAATATTTAAATACCAAGTTTTTTGTGACAAGAAAACGTCAATTTCGAAAATTGATTAATCGACTGGTATATCAATGAGGAAAAACATACATTAAAAAATTAGCATAGTAACATTGTAAAACCAAAACCAACCACCGTGAAAAACTAACTAAACGCCAACTAATGAAAAGAATACAAACAATAGGTATAATGTATATGGGTTTATATTATGCACATTGCATGGTACAAAAACGTATTTCGGTATCTATAGATCTCGTATGTAGATTATAAATCATATAATATTATTATTTATTTTAATAGTGTTATAAAATATTATATATAATGAATACGTTTAAAGAAATACTAATTTAAGTACTTCACAATAATGGTTTTTACAAATAAATACAAGTTATGACCGCGACTAAAAGTAAAACTTAATTTTTCTAAATCAGCGCACTATCATCTTATATAACTATATAATATAATATGCAGTATGCACACTAATGAAACATTTGAAATGAAAATACTAACGGCATGTAATATAATATCTTCTCTACATCTCTTTAGATAAATTTAAAAGGAAAAACATAGTACTTAAACCTTTATACATATTAAATCGAATGAAAATGGTGTGTAGTGTCAAGAAATAATTCATTTACAAGTGCGGTTATTTATTTATAAACAAAATGGTGGTAATATTAATAATATTATAAGCGCTTTACGATGTTATTGTAAGTCGTAGTGGGGTGTATAATATACGGCGTGTGTCATATGTGAACGGTGAACCATTTAGTCTCGCCTCCGTTAGTAAGTTATGCTCACCATTTTATAGGTCAATTTGTGCCTCGGGGCAAAAGAAGCAAAGAATAATAATATATTTCGGACAACCCGTGGCCTCTGTGGTAGGTCATTGGCGTACATTGACACACGCCAAGTAATTAATACAATATGATAAATACACGCGAAACTTTAGTGTACTCTCTGTGTACAGTACGCATATAGCACCGACAAAAGTCATTTATTTCCTGCGAGTCCCATTAACCTAAAAAAAAAAATCGCTGAATGAATTTAAAACGCCCGAATACAATGAAGATTGTATTCGAGAAACCTCACACGAGCACAATGGTTGTATAAAAATAAAAGTTTGTGCATTTTTCATGAACTATATACTGCACCGATAGACAAATTAATACAATAATTAAAAAAAAAAAAAACAAAAACAAAAAGAGCGGTTTTATCACAACGCATCAAACGCATATCGTAGCCCGTAGGTATATGACAAGATTATTGAACGCTGTAAATAAAGTATAAACCGATATTATACAATCTATCAGAGCAAAACTGTAGAAAAATTCAAACACTATATTGTTCCAAGTAGAAGACATCACGGGAAACGAAATAGAGACGTTCGTTGGACTAACAACTTGGATATAATATTACAGAAACGAGTAAAGCAATTACTTTGAGTTGTATATTATTATCACTGGAAGAAAACAGTCATAAATAACTTAATAGCGTAGCAAACCAAATGGCGATAACGTGCGAGAGAACCCACAAACTCAACGAGTACTTCTATATTAATATAATATTATAAAACAATATGACGAGTGACGACGTATTGAAGACATGGGAATCATCGTTGTATTATACTATTATTTCAATGAAATATATTTAACCGTTCTAACAAATTAGTCGATTCGCGTAATATTCCACTGTCCAATTGGTTAGTTGGTGGGAACGTTTCGTTGCATATTTTTACACGTGTCAAACTGGTTTGGCTGTTACACCTAAATAACCGGAAGTGCAACGACACCACACACAACAGGAATAAAATGTAATTTTCTTCCAGTTGAATACGAGAAACAAAAAATACGTATATGGCAAACCCCTATTTTTTAAATATAGTCATACCCGGCGTTTATAATAATAATATAGGTTTATCAATCGTACTACCAAGATCGAATCGGAATCCCACCAATGAACGAGGAAATCATTCTGCGTAACTCCTCCTAGACTCTATCTATAGTGTGTAAGTGGGCTTTACAATTATCGGAGGGGTTGAAGTCTCTTCTAAAATAATTTCTGACCAATCTTTTGTTTTGCTCTGTCCATGAAATAACAATTTTAAAGATTGCTTGAGTAATGAAATCAAATACGAAGTTAAATTTTAAATAATGTATAATTTAATATCTATTTATAGACCTTATCAAGCTCAAACGTCTCTCGTTTCAAGCAGACTTGTTATTCAGTATTGAAACATATTTTTTTATGTTGCCTATGCAAAAGAGACATTTCTCACTTCTTACAATGTCTAATCCATATTTCCCTATGCAACGATCTACCATATTATTATGTCTGTTTAAATTGCATGGCAAAAGTACCACCTTAAATTTCTTTGCGGGGGAGCTTGAGCCCTCCAAAGTTTCACACCGAGCCACGTCAATGCTGGAGTCGCCTGCGGCCTGCCTATATCGTCGAACATCAAAATTCGTTTGGAAATTGATGAGAAAAGTAAAGAAGATACAAAGACATCTACAATTTCAGCACGTCATCGACCATGACCGCTGAAAACTGCGAGCCGATATCATATTGCGCCGCACACAATACAGGTACGACGACGGTTATCAGTACATTTCGTACATAAACGCCGGCCACGATCGTCGAAAGATCGTGCAAGACGACCGTCGAGTGGGGGGGAGGGGCCGGCGAAGAGGCTTTTCCTCCGTCAGCGGCAGCCTTAACACGGTAATGGGGTGGGGAGGAGGTGGTATTCTTTGCACGGTTGTCCATTGTAACACACACACAAACGCACTCATAGTGCAATAACAACAACTATTACTATTTTACTACTACTATTACTAGTTGCTTACACGCACACGAGCGCGCAGAGTATTAACAACAACCGGCAGTGGTGGACACGCAAGTGTAGTGCCCGTGGTACTGAACTTGGCGGACCGGTGCCATTGACCGGCGACGGTTTCAAGGTTCCGCAGCCGCCGCCGTTGTTCTTCGGTCGCCGCCACCGATGCCGCCGCAGCAGCGAGCTGGCTGCTGCTACTACTACAACTACTACTACTACTACCACCACCACCACCGCCGCCGCCGATGACTATGACTATAATAATAATAGTAATAATAATATTATAGTATAACCACCGAGCAAGAGTGTAGTAACCGGCCGTCGTCAACGGACCATAAGAAACGCGTTAAATATAATAATATTATTTTATTCTCTCCGAAAAGAAAAAAAATTATTTAATATTTTTTTTTCGACGGTAGCGACTGAGCCCCCTCCCACCTGTCACCCACCATGGTCGTCGTTTTCCCCGTCCGCGTTTTATACACGGTTGAACCCGCCGCCGATGCGCCTCGAGTAGTATTTCGTTACACCTCGCGCGGTCGCCGGTGTAGTCGACGGTCGTCGATGCAACAGGTGTAACGGCGGCGGGGGCGATGCGCGCCTTTTGTGCGTCGTCGTTATTATTATTGTTACAGTAGGCATAAATAACATATTTATTAAAACGATGCTGTGTGTGCACGATAATAATACCCATGGTCGGCGGTGGAACGTTACTCGAGCTAAGAAGGGGGGAGACGGTAGAAGAACACAAAACGCCGATTTTCGCGACCTTCTAGGCGGAGACTGCGAAAAATCGGTTAGGGTGAACCTCGTCCACCGCGCAAGTCTGCCGGAGAATATACCTATGCCGTCGAATGGGAAGACACTCAATATGTACAGATTTTAAAATTGAGAATATTTTTGCATTTTAAAATGTTTGTAATTCAATATTACAATTTCAAAAAAAAAAACGAATTATATATATAAATGAATTATATTTTACCTTCATAATCATTTTAATCACATAGACCGGTTCACTCTAGTGTGAAAAATAACAGGGTAAAACGGATTCTTCTTAACGTTAAATTTACATTATTATTCGTTGGTAAGACTATTGTCAGTTGTCACAAGGGTAATATAGAATACCCCTACAGGATTCTTTCTATAGTCAATAATTACTTAAAAAATGACCCGTTACAAATGTTTAGAGGAGAACTTTGCTCGAGCAGAGTTATTTTTATCATATTATAAAATACAATAGTTATACTTATTGCAACCTCAAAAAAAAATAAAAAAGTCAGTCTACAAATTCCAGTAAATTAAATTTTATTTAATATTTATTATCTTTAAACTGTAGTGAGAATTCGATTGTTAACAGAGACACACGTCATGCAGGTACGAACGAATGACGTCCTTTCAACAACGATTTTTTTTCTATTTAAAAATGAATTCACCAATTAATAATTACATATTACAAGACGCCCGCGCACACACACGAGCAACCGATTATTGGGTTAGCGGCATACATGATTATTAGATTTTTTTTTTATTATTTATGATGTGCGTTGGGTACGTCGTCGTTTATTTGTACTACTAAGAAAAACCCCGTTACGGCAATGAGATACACGAATATTATACAAATCGTTTTATATTATTATAATATTATGCGAACGTCATAATGTACGGACAAACCGTATGACTGTCTTACAATAATATAATTATTATTACGATAGGTAACCTTGTGGAGGCGAGACGCAGCGTGGACACGTGGTATACTGGTATTGAAAGTTTTGCATCATTTGCATCCGATATTATCATAACGCCGCGGAAATAATAATACAACTGTGTCGGCCGACAATTTAACGTGAAAAACTACCATAATGCTTTTATAAGATCGCCAATGTATATTCTACATACACTAGTCACTCGTAATTTGTACACCTTATATTATAAGCGTACTCGATATTTTATTTGTCAAATAAACCAATATTTGAGCTCATATGCGTACAATGAAAGAGTATAATCATGATAGTAATTATTTAACTATTTAATTTATGTTTTCGATGTTAAAAGTACATTTGCGATTAACGAAACGATGAATGTACCTTAACAAGCGCTAAGTTAATACAAATAATTAAGCACATACAAATAAACTGTATACTTATTTAAAATAATAATTTCATGAAATTGCCCATGCAATCTGCCCATAAATTATACTATAATGTAAAATACAATTTATGTCAAATAGTTAAAAAAACTAAGTACATGATTTGCCAAAATTAATATAATAGTATTAAGTGTTTTACTAATAAAAAAAAATTCAACAATTTCAATGTTAATTAAATACTCATTTACTCATCCAGTTTTGTACATTTGTTATTAAATTATTATTTTTGTTGTGTTACCTACTTCAAATCTGTATATTTTTTAAATTTTTTCCTTGTAAACAGCTAGTGGTTCGATGGACAGTTATTATTTGGTACCTATAATTATTAATTTACATACAATAAAAAAACAGTTTTAGTCCAAAAACCTTTAAAATAAGAGGAAATAAACGCACTATGTATTTTTCCCACACACCCAAGTCCAAACAAGTATCAGGTGAAATAATTATCTATAAGCCCACGCGAATTTATGAATATGGGTTATGCGACTCACCAACACCAGTGAAAAGCGTGATAATGAATAGAAAACTTGTGGGTTCAACTCCTCCTTTTTTGTCTTCCGGAGTAACAATGGATAAGATCGGGCAATTACGATTTAAATAATTGCACTAGGTCGGATAAGAATAAGAACATATCCTATTAAACAGTCTATTTTTTTAGTTACAAATATGTTTTTGGCCTGAGAATTAAACTAAACTAAACCACGTAAACTTAATTTTAAAATAAAAAATTAATTTTGTACAAAATGTTTACATTAGTAGAATATTCAAAAATTGAAGTAAAAACAATAAAACATAATACATTATCCTTTATACTTTGGTTTATAAATTAGAAAAAAAAATCAAAAATCGAAAAGCACTCATTGACCACGTAGTTACCTTGGAATAGAGAACGGACTTTTCGTTTAACACATTTGTCAAGAGCGCAAAAAATTACATGCCTAAATCCACCAAGGTCTAACTCTTCAATTTCATCCTTGTTTTCAAATAAAATATCAAGTAATCACGTTTTCAAGTCACGTAATTTTTCTCCCACCTACAACCCAAATGAAATATGAGTCCTAGAACCGCGTTAAAAACTTGTAAAATTGACATTTTATAAAATGATCCATAGCAATATATTATATTATTTATCTATAACTTAATAGGTATACCAATATGTAGGATATGACTAAATTATAGGTATAATAATGGATATTATTTAGGTGAATGGGCATTATTTCATATTTGTAAGTCAATATTAGTATAATAATTATTATATTGTACTGGTGATATAAACTATGATGAACAGGATGGTTAACATGCATAACATAATAATATATAATAAATATATTATGATGTAGGTAGGTTTGTTATAAGTAGCGTATGTACGATGCGCGAATTGTCATGTTTCGGGTCAGGGTTCATGGTTTTATATTGAATTCACGTCATCATTTATTTTATTGAAATTGTGAAACGTGAGTACTTAAGAAACTTGTGGTAACTGATTATAATTTATAAATATATAAATGAATAATACATCGTACTTATTATTTACTTATTATACTTTTGTATAAAATTATGTATATTACTCGATGAAAAATAATTAAAATAAATAATGATTTAACAAAACAAGTAGGTACCTAATGATTAGAGAGCATAGACAAATATGGACTATTACATTTACATATTTTTTTTATTTACTTTTTTTTGTTTGTTTAAATTTAAAATTATACTAATTAAGACGAAAATAGATTTCTTGGTATTACAAATTAAACAGATATTTTTTGCAGATATTTCTAGATTCGTTTCATACTAGGTTTAATTAGCAAAATTATGTTCTTAATGACATTTAAATGTTAGTCAAGCGGGTATAATCATTAATCATTATACTGATACAGTATTATGATATAAATTGAATATATTCATTTTTATAAATATAGTTTTCTAAAACTACACGAAACCATTTTAAGACATTGAGCACACCTACAAATCAAAAATGTTATTTGTTTAGTTTTTAAATCTAAAAATAAATTGTTTTTATGTTATTTCATTTTTTTTTGGTAATTATATATCTACCGAATTATAATTTTTGGAATGGTTGGTTTTGGTCTTTTTCAGAAAGATGATTTTTTATTAGCAATAAAATATACTTTTGACCAATAAGAAAATATTTTAAAGTACCTACATACTTTCTTGTGTATCGCTTTTTCAATTTCTAAATTGTAATTTGTATGCTTCATTATTTTCATTATTATTACATAAATACTTAAGGTAGTTGAATATATTATGAAAAACAATGAAGTGAATAATAATAATCTATAAAATGTTTTATTTTGGTATTAGCTTTATTCCTTCACAGATTAAATGGATTAAAATATGGATTCAGAGCTAAAAGTTACATAGGACATACTCACAGGATCTGGAGTATCTGGATTTGTCAATAGAGTAAGCTTTAAAAAAGTTTGAAATTACTTTTACGAGTTTTAAAATACTATGGATATCATTTATAACTTTTTTAATATTGAATATTAAGAAATAGGTCTAATAGTATACAACCATTTTGTTAACTTGTTTTCTCAGTTCTAGAATGTGACTATATAAAATGTACAATAAAATAAATATTGAAGGGTCAAGGGTTCAATTGCAGAGCCTAAGAATAAAATAACAATAGGATGGTATTGCTCTTGAAAAAAGACAGTTTGTAACATGAAAAAAAATGATTCACTATAAAAAAAATAACATAATAATAACATAATATAATAAAATGTAATGGGTACCTATGTAAGATATACATTTTTAAAACAAGAAATTAAATTAAACGTAACACTGGGTTCTAAAACATTTTAGACTTAAAGAATGAAAAAAAAAATAAACTTCCATTTAACTTACAATTTATTGTTAGAATGAAAACTGTTCATTTATAATTAAGTGCATTAATGCATCAAGTTTTTTATACCTTTAGTGTAAGTATTAAGATAATGTCAATTAATATTCGGGTCAAAATAAAAAGTTAAACCTTAATATTAAAATATTCAGTAAATTAAAGTGACCATAGATTATCTGATCGATATCAATCGAATAAAACGATTTTTAGGATTCATTCTGGTGATGGGTAAATATCCAGTTAACAAAATTCAACGTTAGTAATAACCGGTATTTATTTGGTGATTTGAGTAAAAATATTTGTCGTTTATAATGATTTGAAGTAAGTACAAGGCCAAATTAGAGAGGGCAACAAACCCGTATTATTGGACTTTTGAATTTGAACGTAATTGTATTAATATTTGTTTAGTATCAAAAATCGCAATGTTACTAAATGGGTGGTCAATATATTATATGGATAATATTATCTTAAAATGATAAAGTGCTTATAAAACAACACTGTTAGGTACATCGTCATAATGCACAAACAATGTAACAACTACGAATGTTGCGTGATTCAACTGAAGCTATGTATCTTTAAAAAAAATAATTACAGTAAATCGCAACAAGGAATCCTTTATAAAATAATATTATGAAGACACCGCAAAAAAAAGATTACATAGTGACAACTGATAAGTCTAATATTTCGATGAGATAAAATTTAAAATTATAAATTAACACGCATTAAGCATATTTTAATATTGTAGCAAATACGGAATCCAGTTGATACAGATTTATAAATAGAAAAATATGATTACCTTAAACCCATTACTTTATTTTTGTTGTGTGCATCATACAATAAATTAATAGCATTTAAATCATTTGAGATAAATAATTATTATACAACTATAATAAGTGAATAATTATTAATTACCATCAATATTAACAATAGACGTTTTTAATTTATGATATTGAAACCTAAAAAAACATCACTGCATTCATTTCTACCAGAATTTTCAGAGATCTAAAGTCACGCAATTTTCAATAATAGAGGGAATGAATCTTGAATGAATATTTTGGACATTAAGGTAATTATACATAATTTTGAGTATTTTAGATTTACTTTAAAATCGACGTAAAATAAAAATTAATGTTTTAACGGAAATGAGGAAATTAAAATAGATTCTTTCCAATATTGTTTTGTTTTTATTGAGAGTTAACAGTCAATATTGTTTACATATAATATTACATTTAAATACTAAAATACAATTTAATTTTGATTTGTTTAAAACAACTCTATAGTATTGAGCGTCCACTAATAATTTAAATTTTTGTGTAGGAACTTATTATTTCACGCTCGATGAATTTTAATAATAACCGGAAAGCTGCAAAATTGTAATTTATAATAATACATTGATTGGTTTTACCACACGTTTTATATCATATTATTATTTTTAACTTAAAAATTATTTAATGTGTGGTCAATGTTTTTAAAGCATAAACATATAAATATTTACAATATAGCTATTTTCTATAGGTAACATAGAGTTAAATATGTATATATTTTAAATTTGACTTATAAACAGATTAATTGATTTTAAGCTCCATTAATTAATTCAATGTTTAATCATCATTCATGACACTTAACAATCAATTAATATCAATAAGAAATTTAAAAAATGAAGACTAATTAATTCACAAAAGTCCTCGACAATTAATTATCAGTTCTAACAATAATATTTAGTCATGTTTAAAGTAATAAGTAATAACTAATAAATCAAATAGAAAATAAAAATAGCCCACGTTCTCACATATATCTATAGAGAATCAGGGCTTGCAAACGTTATACGTTGTGAATTATGATTATAACGTTATATTTCACAAAAAAATCACAAATTTGTAAACGTAATTATATCGGAAATCGAAAACGAAATATTTTAAAATCTATTTATATAGAAGGTCTATTGGTTTCGTAGAAAGATTTATTTTATGCAAACATCTAAGAAATTATATTCCGAAGCCGGACCATTACCTAACCCGCATTAGTTGTTATTTTTAAATTTAATAGGTATTAACACTATTTTAAATAACGACAAACGCAAAAATTGTGTAATTGTAAATAATATAAAATGGAATTTTTTTTTTCAAACTCAGCCTTTTTTCAAGCCCTTCAGAAAATACTACTTGTGTATACGTAGATTAGATATCGTAGATAAACATAAACATTAAGTGCAGATAAACATCCACATTTATTATTTTAATATTATAATCTGTTAATTCAACTTTAAATTATATTTTGTATGCATAGGTATACACAATAGTTTTGAATTTAAAATTTGTTTTTATTGTTTAAAACAGATTACTTATGTAATTTCTAATTAGTTAAACAAACACTACTATTGTTGATGTTGTCAAGAAGTTTCTAGTCGTATACCAAGGTGTACCTATTTAAATAATCACGCCCGTAGTCTAAAAAAAAAATAAGGCGGTTAAGTTTTACATATTCATAATTCATAGTCATTGTTTTCTTAAAAATAAAAGTTAAAATGGAAAAAAATATCAACTAAATAATGATAACAACTAGATACCAGATTGAATACGGATACACCACTTAAAAAAAATACGGGAGACTCACTCCCGTTCCGGTATCGTATCCGCACCGGTCTCTGTATTTAATTTTTAACACAATATTATACTCAAACATTTTATAATACCCACCCCATCTAATTTACATGACAAGAGCCGTTTTTGCAAAACGGATTACGTAAGAACGGCAGTCGTAGTCGATATAAAAACAAAAATATAAAATAAGATTCGCAAAAGAGGTTATGATAATGAATAAAAATACTCGTCGCGCAGTCACGGCGGCGTAGGTATCATAAACGTGAAAATAATATTATTACTTTATCGGTCGTCGGATGTGTGTGCCTATGCAAGACGCGGGTAAGGGTACCCGCAGATTAAATAGGCACACGAGTGGTATTTATCAATTCTCTATTTTACGCTAAACGGACGATGCGTTACAATAATAATAATAATAATATTATTGAGACTGCTTTCAATGAGAAGACTATCGGGACACGACACATGTGTAACCAGTTTTAACTTGGGGAAATCCGGATCGTTGCGCGAGTTTGTCGTACGAGCTGTCGATGATAATGTCAAATTGTCAACCCGTAATTGCAATTTATGTCGGAAGCAGCAGTTAAATTTAGATCGATTATCTCGGTTCGGCGCGCGTGGCCGTCGTGCATCAGCCAGCGATAAACAATGTGTGCGATTATTATACATAAAAAAAAAAAACGTTTAGATTAAGGTCGGAAATCATCTTTGTTGAGACGATGACGCGGTTTCGGGACAGACGAGGCCGAATCTAAAGGCCAGCGTATAAGGACCGCATAGCGGGCACACAAAAACATGACCCCAGGGCATTTCCCGGTTCTATTTCCGGTGTTGAAGATTATAAAATATCGGTCGGTCGTAATCAATATCATTGTACGTACCTACATAATAATCGTTACCAAACGCAAAAACGATGCGAAAAATCGCATCAGAAAAGATATTCATTTCTAGGTAGTCACTTCTACTTAAATTCGCTTACTTGCTAGTTACCTACTTAACTACTTGTACTTAAACTTATGACTCTATACTTATAGGTACTTATTACTATATATACTACCTAGTAGTACAATATAACTAAAATTTAATCACTACGTTACTCTGCGTTCCACACACTACTCACCTCTTCGCTAACGTTTCTGGGCAAGTGCTTGACCTGCAGCTGCCTGTCCTTGTGAAATTTGATCTTGGCGTCTTGCACTTTCCGCTTGATCTCCTCCTCCGGTTCTTCTTCCCAAAACCGTTCGGTGGAAGCTGTGGCCTGCAGTACCTGGTGGTTGCCGGCGATGCCGACGCCGGCACCGGCACCGTTCCAAAACGCCTTTGGATCATTGAGCTTGTACTTGAAACACGGGTGTCCCTCGACGGCGAACACCGATTTGGCGGTTTCCGTCGTCATCTTTAGGTACAACACGAGCCGGTCAAGCGGGTAATATTATGTTTCGCGCGTAGTTTGAAAAAACGTGGGACGACTTAACGGTTTTTTTCTTTTGAACGACTTCGTTTTCGCTGCAAGACGTATTGGTTTGGCGGTTAACCCGAACGTGGACGAAAATAATCGATCGTTTGGGTGTTCAATAAAAATATATATTACGATAATATATCAAAACGCACGTTGTCGTTGTCGCCGTCGTCGTCGTCGTCGGTGTTATAATATTCTCGTGTTGGCGACGGTGCCGGACGACGTTCGAGAGCGCCAAGACGAGTGACAATGAAATACCTGGTCGGTTGCGGCGGCGCGGTTACGGAGAGGAGGTGAACCGGGCCACGCACGCGCAGTACCAGTCTCTTGCACGTGTCTGTGTGTGCGTGAGTGCGCGTGTACTTGTGCACGAGTGTGTGAGCTGCTGTGTGTGCGTGCGCACGAGTTTGTACGAATCCGCGCGCGCGCGTTTTGCCGTGCGTGTGTGTATGGTTATGCGCCGCCGTACAGCGCGCGCACTTTGAACGCACATGTTCGGTCGGCCGGCGAAGACGACATAGCGACGACGACGCGGCCGTTGGTAGCGCGTCGGTGACAAACGGAACGTGTGATACGGTGACGGCGGCGAACGGACTCGCGCGTGCCGGTTTCATCGTCGCCGCAAAAGTTGCTGTCCCGGGAACCTCATTTTTTCCTATTTTCCGTCGTTATTCGTTTTTAAACATTATTTTTCTCATTTTCGAGGCAGGTGCCCTCCTGGTGGACTTACAATATTATTATTATTACTTAACCGCAGCTCAGCCCGTGAAAATTTCCCATAATATTATAATTTACTGCACATATGATAAAGTGACCAAGTGTGACTAAGTGTGACTAAATATGATTATTTGGTCTTGCAATCAAGGCCGTCCCAAAGGAATAGTTGGTTAACAATCCTTTCATGTCACTTGTTTATATGTCCTCAAAACTCACTATGAACACCTAGGTACATTGATTTTTTACCTATAGTCAACCACGAAATATTCAAAGAAGAACAAAAATCAAATCATTTTTTTTCTGTAACAGGATAATAATATAATATATTTTATATTTTAGTAACGACACGTGGGATTTGGGACTTTTGAGTCTTGACATTACAACAACACCACCAAGAGACATGTACTTACCTGTGTGTAACATGTATGGGCAACTACTGACAAACGAATATCGAAAAACGATGTGTTTATTCTTTTTCATCGCATGACCGAGACTATATATGGGACTAATGGACTATATACGGGCATAGGACAATTAATAATAATTTATTACAGTTGTAATAAACTATGATACAAATTAAAATCGAACAGAGCGGAGAGCGAAAAAAGATTTTTCAAGTCACTTAATTAATTAACTTGGCCCTCCGGCTCCCATAAATTATTTTTCGCTGCTATTTTGTCGTCTTAAATTATAACAACCAAAACGATTTGATTATTTATTTTTAAATATGTAAATAGGTGTTGAGGAGTAAGGACTTAGTATGAATTTATTACGAAACTAACCAATATGATAGTCGTAAAGTTGGTTGTTTTTATAATTCCTATTTCAATTCCAATTGTTTATTTCCCATTATTATTAAATCGCAAAACACCACAGATCGTTAAAAAAAAGGCCTATTATTTATTTATAAGTATGCATTTTACCTAGGAAAAATTTATAAATTCCCAAAATATATATTTTTTGTGTCTTTAATATTAAGAACGAGGCAATGTATAATAATATTTTTTTTATATTTTTTCCTCTAATCACTTATCGAACAGTTCTTATAAGAGTACTCTAAAGACTAAAAGCTTCAAGTAGGTATTCTGGGTGTCTAGGCGTATAGTATTATTCTATCGATAAGAAATCGAATTGTATATTAGTAGGTACTATGAAAAGGATGTTTCCGGTTTGTCTATGCGTAAAAATAAAAAAAATATAGTGAAATGATAAAATGTACGTATGCGAAAGCTCAGTACATTCTAGCAAATCATCATTAAAGTATGTAATATTGTAACATTATAAAAATAAATACAATTTTTATTTAATTAATTGTGTCAACATACTAAAAAAGGACTTCTTAGTCGCATGTGTTGTCTCTGTCTGACATACAAGTAACACGGCAAATCTACGTACCTTTAACCTATAGGGTTCTTAGTTCTCACGGTTCTACAGTTTATTTATAGTCAATACATATTAGAGCATATTATTTACTTAATAGTTACTATCAAATTTGTAGAAGAGTTTAATATAAACTGTGCTTATGCGAAGTTTTTTTTTCATATTTCAAAATGTTTAGTTGATATTGAGTTATAATTAATAATTAAAATATAAAAATTACAAATATTGTATAGTTAATAATATAATATAATATAATATAATATATTTGCAAATAAGTTCATAATAGTACAATACTATACTGAATATATAGGTGGTATTTTAGATGTACACATAAAATTATTATGAATAAAATTAAATAAACAAAGATAGGTTCAGATAATATAAGTTTAGCAAATAATAATTTGCAACTCTGAAAAGCTGACCTTGTAGTAGAGGAATTGAAAGATAATTCACATTATTTGTCTAATAGTTAATATTATTTTCCTTTAGATACGAGCTTATTGCTCCGCTGGTATCAGCTATTAATAATGTAATTTATTGTAATTGATTTGGCTGAAATAAATAAATAATTAAAAATATAATATTTAATATAACAGTATTTCAATAATTCAATATTATTTTAACTTGACATGCGTTTTAAGTAGGTATAACTTAAAATGTTTTATATCATAAAGATCAAATATATTTATAGATATTAAGAATCCTACATAAATTAAAAGCAATAGAAAACATACTTTTTATACCAAACTGTTTATTATATTTAGGTATTTCAGTATTTGTATATTAACGTTTTTTTATATTATTTAGTTGAATTGTGACATTTGATAAATGATAACACATTGTATCTATACTTAAACAGTTAAACTAAGAAATTTTTAGAATACAAAGTTATGTTTAATACCTAACTACCTACCTAATATATTATATATTTATTATAATGCTTACGTTTAGGTTTAGTTCACTATATTATACTATACTAGCCCTCCGGTCCAGCTAATTAAGCTTTTTTACCTATCTTTAATGGATTGATATAAGTTATAAGTATATAACTGTCATATTATACATGACAATTCCATTTTATGATAATAATATACATTATGCTATGTACCGGTGTGGTCAACTTGTTGCTCTCGCTTTTTTTTACAAAAACCAAATTTAATTTACTTATTGTTATTATTTATTATAAATCTTAATGTTTTTGAGAATCATTAGAAAAAAGTTTTTATTGTAAATAAACAAAATATAATATACCTATAATAAAATATGATTAAATAAATCAATGGACCTTCTTTTTTTTCCCGGTTGGAATCGTGGGCAGGGAGGGAAATATGGATTCCCATTGCTACCTCACTGTCCACATCGCTTATTTACACAAACAAACAGATAATATTACACTCAAATCAATGTACCTTGATACTGTAAATATTTATTTGGTGACCTTTTTAAGATCTAGTTGCAGTTCTGACTTTCTGAGTAACTCTATGAGATGATCATCATTCATCAGTTAAATTTGAATGATATTTTGATTTAATTATTTTCATTATTGAATAAAGCGATTATGTCGTTTCAAAAATTGATATTAATTTACAGTTTACAATTTTCACAGTTTTTAATATTTGAGTATTTTAAAATATTAATATGCTTCCAAAATAGTGTGACAAAGGCTTTTAAACTGTTTATCTCATTATAAATTATAAATTATATCTAATAACTCTAAAGAGTTCTATTTCGCGATCTGTCTTATTTTTAACAATAGGATGATTAAGATGTGATATTGGACATCCGTTTTTAGACATTTACTAAAAATGTTGATTAAACAATTTTGTCTCTTGAAGTCATTGATGGCTCCGCATCGCTAGCAAACATATTATTCATGTTGGCCCTCTCTGCTAATAATAATTTCTATATATACCTATAAAAATATTACAATCGTCTTATCAGTTATCACTTATCACCATCATCCAAAGTTGTAAATTAAATCTTTAATTAATTATTACACCCAAATCCCAATGGGCAGTGTAAAATACGACAATAGTCAATATAGGAGGTGAATACTGAATACGTAAAGTTGTTACTTTGTTAGGTCTGCTAAATTTGGTTTATAAATATACCTATCTTATTTAGAAATTAACTATACGACGGACGACGGTTGTGATTTGGTCGGGAGTTGATAATATCATAATAATATATAGGTACTTTTACAAATATAAAAGCATTGGAAACCATAACATTAAAATTGAAATTTGACATAATCCTCAATTTAATCACAACGATTATCATTTACCATATAATCATAGACTTGTAATAGACGGAACATTAGGTATTTAGGTATGATAACGCTTGCAAGGGTAGAGCTTGTTACGAGGATTGGCATTATTAAGCTATGTATTGGTTGTCCTCGGAACAGTGTCATTTCTCTCACTCTTATGATATACCTCATGCTGTCTTTCTTAGTCAGTTTGGCACGACCACGCCTCCCAGTCCTCGGAACAAATGTTCAGTCTATTTCTATAAGTATATGCATATAATAGTCAATAGATATAACTATAATATGTCTATACAAAAAATAATAATACTCGAATAATTCAATAATGTCGACTTAAAATTCATACAACTTTTAAAAAAAAATTCTACAGCAAAACACTTCTAATTTTCTTATTTACAATTAATTCGATTATATTCTATTGATTTGGTCTAATATTCACCCTAAATAAACTGTGAGAATCCGGTAAGTACATTTGCTATGTTACGCGTGTGTAAGATGCGGGTACAATCATAAACATATATTATGCTAAGGACTACATAAGGTCTATGGGCACAACGTCATCTAAGTATGTTGA